CAGTCAGTGGGCGGGCAGTGATCTCCCGGCACGCTCTCTCACCCGCTGCCTGTTGTGTTGCCTTGCAGTGCCCACGCCCAGCCCGGGGACGCCTGTGGGGTGGTGGGGCTGGCCTTCAGCGGGCCCCAGATCCAGAGTGCCACCGTGCTGCTGGACCAGGACGTGGCCGACGAGAGGACGGCGGAGGCGGCCATGCAGCGCCTCAAGGCCGCCAACATCCCCGAGCACAACTCCATCGGCTTCATGTTCGCCTGCGTGGGCAGGGGCTACCGGCACTACAAGACCAAGAGGAACATGGAAGCGGATGCCTTCAGGAAGTTTTTCCCAAACGTGCCCCTCTTTGGCTTTTTTGGACACGGGGAGATAGGATGCGATCGGATAGTCACTGGGAATTTCGTGTTGAGAGAGTGCAATGACATTAAGGATGACCTGCTGCACGGTTACACGACCGTTATGACTCTTATTCATTTCGGTTCAACTAAAGCAAGCCAAGCATAAGTAAGGTTTAATGCTGCAGTGAGCTGTTTGTTTCATTCCAGAGAGCTGGGAAGTCGGGAAGAGTGGACATCTCGCAGTCAAAGCCCCCTTCCAAAGCATAAACATCATTTTGGTAATGTTATCAAGTCTTGTAGTTGCAATAGAGTTTGATATACTACCTGCAAGAAGCCTTGCATTTTGTGTAATCCCCTGTACACGTTAGAATTGCAGGAAATTATATCTGTTGGAATTCTGCAATTGAAGAAAGCCTCTTTCTTCCAAAATGAGAGTGGTTTGCACAAGTCATGGAATATGCTGACTTGGAAGGGGCCAATCAGGGTCATCGAGTCCACTTCCTGGCCCTGCACAGGACATCCCCAAGAATCCCACCGTGTGCCTGAGAGTGTTCTGAAACTCAGACAGGCTTGGTCCTGTGACCACTTCCCTGGGGAGCCTGGTCAGTGCCCAGCCACTCTGGGTGAAAAAGTTTTCCCTGATATCCAGCCTAAACCTCCTGACTCAGCTTCATGCTGTTTCCTTGAGTCCTGTCACTGTCACAGGAGTGAAGAGATCAGTGCCTGCCCCTATGCTGCCCCTCGGGAGGATGTTGAAGGTCCCAGTGAGGTCTCCCCTCTGTCTCTTCCAGCTGAACACACAAAGTGGCCTCAGTGTCCTCACAGGACTTCAAATCAAGGCCTTTCATCTTCACTGCCCTCCTTTGGACACTCCCCTAATGGCTCAATCTCTTCCTTACATCGTGTCCCCACAGTATTGCAGGTGAGGCCACCCCAGGGCAGAGCAGGGTGGGACAGTCCCCTCCCTGATGCCCCCAGGACAGGGTTGGCCCTCCTGGCTGCCAGGGCACTGCTGACTCAGGGCCAACTGGCACCCACCAGCACCCCCAGGGCCCTTTCCTGGCACTGCTGACCAGCACTTGTCCTCGTTAAACTTCCCGTGGTTGGTGATGGCCCATCTCAGATTCGGGGAGGTCTCTGCAGGGCCTCTCTGCCCTTCAGTGAGTTGAAGCTCCTCCCAGTTCAGTGTTGTCAGCAAACCCAAATAACAGCATGTAGGAGGAAACAGGACTTTGAGGTGCTCTGTTTATGTATGTAAAATGGAAAAATCCATTTCCTGGATTTTAGTATTGGAGAGATGCACAACCTTCCCAGAGTCCTGTTTACAAAACCGAAGGGTTTTACTGAATAAAATGAGTGAAAATCTACGTAGAAGTAACAAACTGCTTGTTAAATAAAGATGAAAACAATGTCAAAGTATTTTGCCTTCTGTTAGAGAAAAGGCTCTGATTTAAAGAGATGTTGTCCAGCTACGAGTTCAGCTTGGTTCACCACCTTGACCTGAATTTCAGTTGTCTTAACTGTCTGGTTTAGAACGTAGTGGTGGTTTTTGTCTTTTGGATTCCCTTGTAGCTTGATCACAAACTTAAATCCAGAGTGCTAAAAAAAAATAAGACTACCTGGTATCTTTAAGTTTCTTTAAGAAGTTTTTTTGCTCTTTAATTTGGAATTGGGGGGCACATAGGATCTGGTTATATTTATAGAGAGACTTTTAACAAGACCTGTGCTTTTGCATGTTTTTCCTGTGCTTTTACATCAGTCACCTGTTCTGGTTGCTGCAGCTGGCATGCAGTATTGTTCAAGTAAGTAAATTCAGCATAGTCTCAGTATAGCTAGTAATATATTTGCTGCTTTCTACATTTTTTTCCTCCCTTTTATTTTCACTTAGTAATAGAACAAGAAGAAAATAAGATGAATTTTCCACCATTTCACCAGACTCCTAAATGCCAAATCAGGCAGCTGGCCCATTTTCAGTGTAGTGAAAACACTTAGCTGCTGTTGTACAACAAAATGACATTTTTTTTGCTTTAAATGTACCCAGCAAGTCTTCAGTTGGCAACTTTTTGCTTACATCTAGTTAAAAATTTATATATAGTTAAAACTTTTCCTGAACTTGGCCTGAGGAGCTGAGGTAGAGGTGGATCTGTTCTGAGAGTTAACTGTTGGTTTGTGCTGAGCACATGCAGCACTTCCCCAAGGCTGTATTGATGATGAGTTTTTTTTTTTAATTAGGAGCTGTGAACTCCCAGTTGGGGATGGGAGGTCAGTAAGTGTGGGTGTGACTGGAACAACCTTTAGTCACTGCATGAAGTGAAAGTTACCTGGAAGTGGGGCTGAATTTTCCGAGCAGCCCCTCGGTGGGAGGCGGCTCGGTGGTTTTTGAGCGCAACCACAGCGTGGTGTTCAGCCCTCTGTGCCTGCCTGAGCTGGGTGTGGAGCAGGGGGAAGGAAGTGTTTCACTCCTGTAACAGATTGCTGTGGCTGCTGGCTGTGCTGGGCAGCACAGGAATGTTCCACTGTCCCGGATGCAGGCATGTCCGAGGAAGCAGCTGAGGAGCTCAGATGATGGTGCAGCAAATCCAGAAGCAGAGGGTGGTCTGAAGGGGCTGGTCATCAGCAGGGCCCTGGAACTGAGGAAACTTCTGAGGTAAACACAGTACAGGTGGGATGCTGGGGGTGACCTCAAGAGCCTGCACCAGAATCCAGGAATCCTCTTTCCGGCCTCAGGGAGTGGGGATGAGCCCAAGGGATCCCAGAACCATGCTCAGAGCTGGAACCACTGCACTGTCTCCCAGCCTGCATCATGCTTTCCATGTGCCAGGGAAGTGATGTAAGAGATAAAACTGCAACACCAGTGATTAAAGTGTTTTGCTATCCATATCCATTTTGCCTCCATGCTGTCATTTGCTCTTCAACCACAACTCCTCAGAGAAACCAAAACATATTTGCTTAAAAGGTGCAGGTACCAAAAGGCAGAGCTAGTTCTGAACTGATAAAAAGTTTTGCAGTGCCAGAATTAATTCCTCTGCCACTCAAGAAGTAACCACAAGGTTTTAAGGTGAGCCAAGTTAAATACATGAGTATTCAGCAATTGAGGCAAATGTGAATAGCATAAAGATACCTAAAGTTTATCTGCAGTTCATGCTGATGTTAATCTGTTTCCAACAAGAGAACAGAATTCCTAAGGGACCACAACTGGATTTTGGTTTTGTTACAAAAAAAACAAAACTTGCAGAGTCACAAGCCAGGGAGGAGTGACAGTTTTGCTGATGAAAGGTAAAGGCATTGTTTTTCCCCGTCTTTTGAAAATGAATAATGTTTTGTTGCACATTTGTTCTTAATGCACCGTTCAATTATCTCTAAGCTTTAAAAATACAAGAAATAATAGGCAAGTGGTGTGATGTATAATCTCATACTTGCACAACCAAAATAGCAACTGCCAAACCTAGAGCTGTTACTGTAATTTTTATTTTAAGGTCACTATCCAAAAGTCTCCTCATTGTGGGATGTTTCTGTAATGTGCAGCTGTAAGAAAGCAAGAATAATTTGATAAAGAGGAGCCAAATTGTGAACAAGTAGTTACATATGATTGTAAATTGATTTTGCTAAAAGTCTCCCTCCCAACTCCCTCAGCGTCATTACCCTCTCTTAGTTTATATTTTTCTTTCTAAAAGTGGAGAACTTCTTTCTCCTAGAAGCATCTCTGTGGTGGTGCTTGTTAAGTTTTCACATCAAACACCATCTTTGGAACTCACCTAAGTTTTCTGAATGCCTCATCTTTGGCCCAGTGAGAGAACAAGAAAAAACATTTCTCATCCAGATTCCTACTTCTGTTTGACTCAGTGGAACAATACAGGAAAATAACATTTGAGGTCTAGAATTTTGCATAGTTACAAAGACAGTAAATGTACAGTTAAGTGGTGGTTTATGAGATCTTTTCCCAGCCAGATGCAGACTCCAGAAGAGGCTGTTCCAGAAGGACTCCAGAGGAGCCCTGAGGATGTTCTGAACTGCAGGCTGGAAGGTAAACTGAGCTCACTGCTGGGGGGGTGTGCTCTGGTCCTGTACCACTGGTTTAGGTCAAACAATACAAGTAGGGCCCTTGTACTGACTGTTTTCTGCCCAGCAGCACTTCAGAACAATGAAGGGTATTGTAAACAGAACTTACAGCTACAGGGAGAAAGTGGAAACTCAAAGGTAGGTTTGGATTCTTTTAAGTCACATCACCTGGACACTTCCATTAGAATTATTAGCACAGAAATAGCTAATTGGAATTTTTTCCCAAGCGCTTTGATAATTTGAGAGAACAAATTTATTCCCAAATCATTAGGATTTGTCCTTTTAAATGCTTTTAAAAAACAATGTCTAAAGTGTCCTCATTACATTTCACAGGTAGATCTTCAGTGAGATTAGCAGGTAGCACAGAGTTCTCAAAATAAATGTCTCCGTGATTCACATCACTGACAGTGGCAGGTCATGTCACCTCTGCACAGTAAATTTTCACAGCTCTAAGAATTAGAAACAGCTATTTTTAAAGTAAGCTCATCTTAGCTGAGTTGTCAATATGGCAACAGGGAGAGCAAACACGAATCCCCAAACACGAATGGTTTGAAACAGCAGCAAATTCTGTGATGGAGAATCAAATTCTGTGATGGAGAATCAAATCACCCAGCCCTGTTAAAAACTGCCACCAGTGGATGCTCAGCCACATTTTTACAGCCCATCAGTTGCCTGCATAAGGTTTTAGATGAAATATCATTATTTGCATTGAGAAGGTAATCTGAAAACAGCCTCTTTTAAAATCTACACTGAAAAAGAACGTTCAAATGTTACACAGACACGGAGGTGCATCGAGAAGGGTTAAAAATTGGCCGTAGGTGAGTCACACAGTCAGAGACCCTCTCCAGCTCTTCAAAAATGCAGGGCCAGAAGGAAAAGGATTTCTTTTACTGCAGTAAATTTTGAAGGGCTTGCAACCACATTGAGGGGACCTTTAAATTGGGAAGTGCTACCAAATGGACTTTCTGTTGGTCTTCCTGCTTAATATGTAACATTATAAATCAAAAACTAGCACAGAGAAAATCCTCTTGTTTTCTTTGAAAAGCCATTTCATGTTCCCCTTTAACTGTGCTTTGCTCCAGAGTTTGTTTGGGCTGCTAATGGGGAAAATGATATACTGTAATATATAAAAAACCTCTTACTTAGGTCTACAAAGAGACCTCCTGCTAAGAGAGCTGCCAGTTTGTTCTGCAAGTGATTAAAAGGGTTTTGCAACACATTAGGAAGAGGCTTTTGCTCCAGGATTCTGAAAGGAAAACGTGATCCTCAGGTCTAAAAGCATTTTTGCCGGACCACTGTAATAAACTGTGGTGTAATCACAGTAGTGGAGTTTCTTAGGAAATTCTTTTCCACTTTTCTTCCCCCCCAGCCTTCCAGCTGGTGGAGAGGTAATTTTTTGTTTTGTGGAAATGGGAGTCAGATGGACAAGAGAAAGCCCTTATTAGTCACCAGTAAAAAGGCTCCAGTGACTCCAAGCACAAGATCTGATCCACTGGAACCAGTGTTTCTTTGGCTTTACTGCTCACAGGGCTACTTCCTTAATTCTGCCAGCAAGCATTGCTCCAGTGCTGTACTATTTTATTAAATCACACATAATGTTGGCCACCCTGTACTTTCTGTGGCATTTGACCCCATTAAAATGAATTTGTTTCCCAAATAGTGCAAACACACTTGGTAACAGTGAGTAACTATTCCGTATCTGCCTAGAAAGCTGAGGGCATTCTGAGAGTTTATACAGTACAACTTCAGCCCTTTTATTTCTTACATCTTCTAGTAATATCTCCTTCCTGAATTTCCACTTAAGCTGACCACAAGCCTTTTCCTTTTTCAGTGGAGATACTATCCCAAACTGTAAGTGTGACTGTCTCAGGAACATATTGAAGTTATCAAAGAGCAGCTGTCTCTGATTAGTTTTCCCTGAGGCTGTTCAGGGGACACTGATGCTGATGGAGCTCTCAGCACTGCCACACATCCCCAAAGCTCTCTGTGCAGCAGTGGCATGTCCCTGTGTGAGGAAAAATCACTTTTCTCTTTCTTAGCCTTTAAGACAATATTTTCAGCTTATCTGCTAAAGGTCTGAAGTCCAGGAAATAACATGTAAGATTGGTTAATTGGGGGAGAAAGTGATCTTTTAGTGCTTTATATAACCTAATCTCTGGATCAGGTCCTGTACTTGATTTGGTGCCCTCAGGTTCTCCCCTCGGATGCTGAGCATTAACTGGGACTCTGACTTCCCTGACGTGAGTCCTTGGCAGCTAATGAATTTTTCTGGTTTGTGTTCTAGTAGTTATTAAAACAGTTTTCCCTTGGACTCCTCACACCCTGTAACAGCAGGGCTTTCCCTCTCTGTCCCACTGGACTTTTGTCTGCACTGATACAAAGTACACCAGCGCATGTACCAGGCATCCTAGGAACAGCAGCTTGTTCAACATTTTCTCTGCACCTGTTTTTACACACCTCCAGATTGTTTATTTCAGAGAGAAGAAATCTCTGTTCTGCCTTTTCTCTCCTTTCAACTTGTGACCTTTTCTCGGTTGATCTTCCCCTCAACACAACCTTAAAAAAATCCCATATAATGACCTGCTGGGTAATGTGCAAGAATGGAAATATATCTGATTTTTGCTGGTTTCAACCCTCAGTGCTAGAAATAACTTGAAAAGCAAGTTGCTCAGTTCACTTTTTCTGTGCCTCTGACTAACCAGACCATTCTCTTTGTGTTGTCAAGGCAAAAAAGGGACATGGACCGTGTCATTTGGCCTCTCTTTGTCTGGGGAAGAGAATCCTCTTAAGGAACCAGGGTGTGATAACATGAGGTACTGATGTGATCAACAAATAGTGATGTGAATAAAAGAAATCTTTGGAGAGGGCAGCACTTTTTCAGCCAAGACACCTGTCTGGATATTTTGTGTCAGGAATTGACTTGCTGAATAAAATTTCTGCCTTCTGCTATCTGAAATATCAACTGGAAAAATTAAGGTGAGGTTTAAATTTCCCTCAGTAGTGAGATTTCCAGAAGAGAAAGCAAGACAAAAATAAACCCATCAAGGAAGATGTCTTGTTTAATATTAGGGATGTATAGCAAACAGAGGGTAAATTCTCTGCCTAAACTTCTTTTAACCACTACCTATATCTCTTTTCTTAATATTTTCTTTGCATTTGAATTCAAATCAAGTGCCAGGAAGCTGGCCAATACACTAGCAGTGGTACCTCATCCTCATGTTGTCTTATGATCAAAAAAATATAAAAATAGGGTATTAGCTGGGAGAAAGGTGCTTTTTTTCCCCCCACATCTGTTAAGGGTGTCTGAAACAAGCCAAATCCTGGACATGTATCAAAAGTACAAATTTTGAAACTATTGAATCAAGACAGTCAAACAAAATTCCCTTATCAAAAATCCACAGTATTATGTCATGCTAAACCCCTGTTATTATATTTTCTGTGCAGCGAAAAAAAAAATTGAATGTATTTTATACATTTCCCATGTAGTAAACCCTAAAATTCTCATGCATCTACCTGTGCTTTATTGAGGACTGTAACTTGTCATAAAAAAAAACCTCACAAAATTCAAACAAATTATAGTGATGTCTGTATAATTGATGCACCTTTAAATATACATACAAACTCCATTAAGTGCAACTGTTTATGTTTAAGTTGCAGTCTTCTCCAACTCATAAGCCTCCTATTTCAATCTGCTTTCTTCTCTCATCTTGTTCACCACATCATCCTCTCCATCTTGTCTTCTTAGGGTTGCTCTGCATGTTGTTCCCCCACCATTCCTCCACTGGATTGCTTTATGCTGTTGTTATTTCTGGAAAATAAACAAAAAACGTACCTTTAATTAAGGAAAACTCCCTGCCCCACTTTCCTGGTGGAGTCCAGTCATTTAACTTTAAATTGCACTCACTGTTGCAGCCACTGCTGCCTGCAGGTTCAACTAGGCTGGCACCACACTCTGAGGAACTTGTCCTTGGAATGGGAACTTTTCTGACCAAAAAAAAAAAAAACAGACAACAGAGAGAGGGGGGGAAAAATTACACACAGTGAAAAAGGTTATAAGGGAGGAGACTAATGAATTGAATGATGTCCATTGAAAAAAAGTGACATGGATCTCCTGCAATTCCTTTCTAATACCCAGTGTTTGTGAGAAGAGTGTACTGGAGGGAGAAGGACAGAGATCAGAGGCCAGGACAACACTCAGAACTATGTGGCTTCTCTCCTACTCCTCCTGTTTGTCTGATTTCTCAGCTCTTTTTTGAAGCAATTAGTAGACAGCACAAGATAATTTATTATTAATTCTCTCGATGTTTGGAAATTATGTGAAATTCTCCACTCTTTGCTGAGGAGACACAAATCTTGTAAATAGAGCTGATCTCCTGCTGTCTTGTTCCCTTTCTTTTAATAGTAATCAGACATCTGCTCTCTTGAGAAGAGTCATGAGCTCTTCCCTGTCCTGTCCAGTTTGTGCCCTGTGGTGATGTAACTCCTCCACAAAATCTGGTGTCTTGGACAGCTCAGATGGCCTCATTCCTAGACCCTGTAGTTTTGGCTGGCTGAGTTCCCATTCCTCCACATCACACTTACCTTACAGGTTAATTTGCCATTTCCACGTGGACTTAAAAAGAAATATAGAAATGAATTGCAGATTGATTTTAGTTTTCCCTAGGCTTTGTTCTGTTCCTCTTAAGCTCCGCGTGTGTGGCATTTAGGCTTCTGAATTAAATAAAAACTGCCTTATGTGCCATCTATACTCATCAGTCACCTTTCTTACTCTTTTTCTTCCTCCAGTAACCCTTGAGCAATATGTTTCTGGAGGAAGAAGGCCAGATGGACGTGGTCTGATAGGTGACTTGCTGGCAGCAAAATATGCCATTTGTTCCTCAGTACCAGTGCAATAGCAGGGATTTTTGCAGACTTTTCCTGTTTTGCCCATGTCAGGATGACAGACTTTAGGAGCCTGTTTGTTGGAGGGGTCTTTGTTTGAAGGTGGAGAGAGCACCTAGATCTGGATTTGCACTCTGCAGGCTGGAAAAAAAAATAAATCATCAGCTGATAAAAATGTGACGACTCAGCTAAATGTAAAAAGGATTATTTCCCATTGCTCCCCCAGAGCTTTCCTAGGCAGCCCTATTCTCTTATGGGTTATTTTCACTGTTAGTTATGACTTAGTTTTATAAGCAGAGCAATGAAACCTTTTCTCTCCACCCCTGTATGGCTGAATGGATTTGTTTCTAGGGAGCATTAAATGCACTTGTTTGGTCCTCAAATCTGTCCCAAGCAGCCTCAGAGAGAGACAGCTTGGAAAGGGAGGGGGGCATAAGTGATGATAAAAACACAAAAATAGAGCAAAACTGATTTCCTAAATTCTAAAAGATTTAATGTGTAATTTTAGGGATTCTGTTTCCTCGTTCTGAACTTCCATTAGTTCTGCATCCCTCCAGATTGCGTTACTGTTTGTAACAAAACCCCACCAGAACCCTCTGCTGAAAGGGCCATGGAAATGCTTAAAACCACAAAATATCAGGAAAAAAACCTCTGCTTTCTGACTGTGGATCAAACATATTTGTTAACAAAGTGTAACAGCGGAAACTTGATAGCACAGTATTTCCCTGAACACTTTAAACTTAATATATCCTGTCAAGGACAAGCCAAAGATGATGCAACTCTCAGCTAACCCTTACAAGCCTTAGTTCCACCCTCTGCTAAGATGTTGGGATACAGGTGATAGATCAAATGGGAGGGGAAAAAAATGCAGCTTAATGACAGCTGCTAGCAATGATCCTCATTCATAGAGCTGAAAAGAGGTAAGTAGATTAAAGTATCCTCTGGAGACTCCTCATATGGTGGTCACTGCAGTCAAGACATAAGGACTTACAGATGGAAAGTGTTTCCTGCAGAGATGAGTTCTCTGGCAGATGACTGTCCCACATCAGCCTCAGAGGTGTAAAGGTAAGACAATTTTGAGCCTGTTAGGTTCTTTTATCTGTACTAAAGAAGTTGATAATGATTTTATGAGATTTCCTCAGCTAGTCTGGTATGTAAGATAAGTTCAAGGCCAACTGTGTTCAGACTGAGTTATTTTTTTAATAAGGAGGCTCTACTACTTGTTCTGCCAGTTAAGCAGAGCTGGAGTGAAGAGTAGTTGAGGTTCATCTTCCAAATGTCTAATAAAAGAACTTGCATGGACCTGCCACTGCTGTCACTCAAGGATTCTGTACTTTGACCATGAAACTCAGTAGACTTTGTCTCCAGCTTTCCCCTAATTCTGCTGTGTGCAAAAGGAAAGGCATCTTTGAACAGATTGCTCTCTTCTTGGAGACAATTCTATTTCTAAAGAAATACTGCCTGTATGAGACTTGAATTAATTTTTCTCAAGTTAGTTAAAGCTGTATTGTATTCTAATAACTTTTTAGTAGCCTGCAGATGTTCTTTAGTGAACAACTGCTGTGGCATTCCATGGCTAAGCAGGAGTAATTGGACTAAAATTACTAAGGTAGGGGGGATGCTTTACAACAAGGGGGGGCTTTTATACAAACTGTTTTATCAAATGCTCTCTATCTCTTCTAAATACATTCAGCTGTGGGAAAAACTGGCATTCAGGGGGTTTCCATGACAGCAGCTGAGGTAAAACTGGCCCAGCTCTTCCAAAGGTCGCTCACTGAAAGGCACTGATCAGAGAGGTTGATTTGACAATGTGATTATATGGGGGAGCAAAGAACAGGACTGCAAGAGCCTCTGGTTATCACAACCAAGGAGAAATGCAGTCTAGGAGGAAGGGGAAGAGGCTGCAAGTCTGTGATGGCCAAGAATTACAGGGGCTCATATAAACTGCCTCATAAAGGCGTAAACACATATTAATGGTATGTGACAAAACAAGCTCTTAGAAAAAGTGCTGTACTCTAAAAATAAAGAAGGGACACAGGAGGTTGACTTGCATTATAAGTGCAGAGATTAAGTGAAAACAGTAAGTTTGTTTGGGTCTGGTCTAATTTTACTGACATATGCACAGCATCAAATAGCTGCCTTAACCCCAATAACTGCTTATGTGTTTTCATTCCAAGCCTTGACACGCCTGAAATGCTGCTAAAACCAAACCTGCAGCACCTGCTGTCTAGCACTGACATTTTCCTGCTACTCAAACATGGACAAATTAAATTAGCCCTCTGTTTTGTTCGAGATATTAGTTAGGAAACATCTGCCTGGGATTATTCTTCAAATTGATGCTTTCCTTAGTTTTCCTTTTTAGACCAGGAGCTGCAGAGTAATTAGGAGCTAATGGCACCAGTTGCATGGGCTGCCAGTTCAGTGGGAGCAGTTTTTGATCCCTAAGCACTTCATCAATTTGCTTCTACTTCTCAGTCCTCAGACAACATAAAGTTTTTGAATGTCAGCACTAACTCTGGGTAGACTGCAGATCTCAGACATGGACATACTACCTGTATTTTTTTACAAAGCAACTACAAGTAATAGCTCAGAAAAGACACTGAGAAAACTACAAGGCAGGAAATGAACTATTACGAGCAACAAGTTGAGACATCCACATTCATTATGCTGAATAACCATACAACCTTATGGATAATTCATTACATGCTTTTACATTCAGGTAATTAGTACATGATTACCAGAAGAAATTTCTACTTGATTAAACAGCTTTCAGCCTTATGAAGCACTTTTACCTGCAAAGGAAGTAGAATGCTCCAATTACAAGAACTCCTAGAAGAAGAAGGGAAGCCAAGAAAGCTGCAAACAGGTCACCTTTTGTTTGGGACTTGATGCTGGGCAGCAAAACCTCCTCACAACGGGCTCCTGTGTAATGCTCAATACACCTGGGAAACCAAGTGGGATTAGATTAGATGGGAACTTGTCACTTAATATGAAAAGCTGCTTTTGCTCTTAAGGGGGGAGAGAACTGTTAGGACATAATTCAGAGTTTGTGTTTGCTGAGCAGCAGCTTACGGAATTTCCCCTCCTATTTCTGGAACAAAGGGAATTGGTCACACTGGGCACTAAGTTTACATTCTGATCCATACTGCTTTCATATATTTAATACATTCATTACTGACAGATTTAATTTATTAAATCTACCTCTCTAGTGTTAACTGTGTCATCCCACTGGTTCTCACACAGTAGCCATGCTTTCTTTTCCCCCTTCCATGTAACTTTCAGCTTCCTTTGTTGCAGAGCTGTCAGGTAAATAGACCCAGGAAATGGGAATTCACTGAGACACAGTACACCTTAAACTGCAGAAGTAGTTTATGCAGGGTAATAATTCATGCCAGAACATGTTACGTGCTTGGTGAATAACCCTCTCTTGGGGAGACCTAGGTAAGTCTTCTCTACTGTGCTTATTTTACGTATTAAGCTTCTGAAAACTTCTTCTGAAGAAAGGATTAAAATGGATATGGTATTTTACTGCAGTAAAATGGTATGTTTTAGTAAAACTAAATAAAAGTGACGGCTTAGTAATTCATACTCAGTCAGAAATAGATAGGTTGAAGCTAAACTGATCTTCACTGGTCTTGTATTTTGCACTTACTCTGCTAAGTTTTCTCTTGCAGAAAGAAACAGAAAATGGAACGCTCTTCTTTCAGTAGCTACATTCTGCATGTATTTTTTTATATATGTAAATTTGCTTCCCTCTATTTGTATTACTAAAGATCTCGCTCCTTCTTGCTATTTCTGGCACTGAAGTCATAATAATCTGTGACATAAGCAACTTCAGGCTCCAGCTGAGAGGAATGGGCTGAACTCTGGAACACACTTGAAGTTCTCCACTGCCATTGGCAGCTGCAAGGTATAATTTCAGATGAGGGATAAGAAGGCAGAGTGGGGAGGAACTGCCAAAAAGGAGAAATGTCTGGGACGCGTAACTAAGACAAAAGGATCCCTGTGAGCTTTCCCCACGCGGAGGCTTGATGTGAGTCCCCTCCACTTTCTGTGCATTATGGACAATGTTTCAGCACTGTTGGTCTCAGCCATTGCACAAAGAATTGCTACCCCTTCTTTCAGTTCTTTGTCTTTGGAAATATAATGGAAGACTGAGACACTAAAAAAAAAAAAAAATCTGTTTAATTATCATCATATGTTAAAGCTGAGCAGCTGATCAAACTGCCAAGGACAATGGGAGACTTTTCAAAGTTATGATGTGTCACTGCTGGGAGAAGCAAGGGCAGGCAGACTGCTCTGATTGCTTGAGATAATGTTCCAGATATTTACTGTAAGTGTAGTGGCTTTTCAGTGGCCTATTTCTGAAATACTGTAGAATACTTTAAGAATAGAAGTGTAGTCTGAGTGGGGGCATTGTTCTCCAGCAAGTGAGAGAGAAATGCTTTGGAGAGCTGAATAGAGCAACAGGGATAGAAAATGGAATATGAAATTCATAGAAGTATTCTTGAATACCAATGAAAACTGGAGAATAATGCAAGGCTAAAATGACACAGAAAGAAAAAAAAAATAAATAGGTTTTGGCATCAAATTAAGGCTCATGGAAAAGTTCTAAAGAAGGAGTGTAAAGGCAGTAAGTCAGCAGCCTAAAGAGCCAAAGGAAGCAGGAGGAAGAAAAGACAGTCCTGCTGCAGAGAGATGCACACAGGTGAAGGATCAGGTAAAGGGGAGGGTCAGTGAACTGTTCTGAGAAGCAGAGGTGGAAGGATCAGTGAATGGAAGTTGTATTCACGTGCTGCAAAAGACCACAGGGGAAAAAAAACTGGGAATGTGACGACAGCCTAGAAAAATGGTCACTGAGGCTGCAGCACTTTGTACTAAACAGAAAACACAACCAGCTGCTTGAAGTAGTCACAAGTCTTAAGAGTGAAAGGAGCTTGAAGGCCTAAGACTCTAAGGGGAAAGCTACAGCAATAAGAACGCAAGGTTATAGCAACAGGAAAAAACCCTGCACTAGAAAAAGCACGTGCAAAACCTGAACATCCTGAACCTCTTCTGCATGGATGTAACAAAAACAAGTTGTAGAAACATGTTTTTCGTGACTAGCTAGTTCGATGGTATCTGTTTAACTGTGTGCAGTGGATTAGGGATTACAAACTAGGCTGAGCTGTTGACACACTTGCTGGGACTGATTCCATGCAATGTAAAAATTGCTGCCATGAAACCTAAAAGACGTAGGTTTTCACAGATACAGGAAAATTGAGATGAGGTACCTCTGGGTTACATTTAAATAAACAAAATTACAGCTAATGTGACCTTAGCAACAAACTGTGCTGCAGTCAGGGCATTTCTGAAAATCCAGATGTTCAAATATTGGCTTGCACAAGCTTTTATAAAGTCACCTGTCCTGATGTACAAACAGGTGAAGGCCCATGTTAAAGAGAGAAGCAACTGATGCTTTAAGATAACCAGGAGAGGTTTCTTCTGCAAGCCCTTTCCCAAAACTAGTGAGGAACTAAACAGACTTCTGTAATTAGTAGTTGAACTCAGTCAAAAGACCTGCTTATCCTGTAGCAGAGCTCTAATAATTCCAGTGCAGTTCCATATGCAATGACTGCAAGCGAGGCAGACACAGAGTGACCAACAAACATGTGGACCATGAACATAAACCCATGGTATCTGTATCAAGCCTTCTAGAGGCAGTCAGTCTTACTAGACACAGCCTTAAAAGCCAGTAGCTTTGAAGATAAACTCCTGGTTTATCTTGTTTATAATGGATGCCTAAAATAGAACCCGAGTTTGGAGCAGCTGTTAATAGGGAAGGCACCGGTGCATCTGCACTTGAATGAACTGGGGCAAACCCAGAGCAGCCTGTTTCCAGGCTGGACTAAGAGTGAAAGTAAGACTCACAAAGTCTTGTGTGCCCTAGGCCAGGTGTAGCTGTTGCAGAACATCAGCCCCGTGCTGTAATCTGCTGCCTCAGCACGTGCTCCCTGTTGCTAAATGGCCCTACCGTGTGGCATCCCAAACTTGATTTTTCAAATGGAAAAGAGGTCTTTCCCCCTCCAAGAAATTAGAATTTCTAATTCCATCAGAGTGGAAGTACAGCAGCCTTCAGTGTCTGAGGGAAATCTGTGACTAAAAGCTCCCGTTTTCAGAAATCCCATCCAGATTTGTGCTCTCCTAGGTGCCTGCACACACAGGCACACCCACCCACGCCTCCTGTCAGACGGGATGAGCCAGCCTTCCACTGTTGTATACAAACATACTACAGGAGCTGGGCTACACACACAACACCAGCAGAGGTAAAGAAATCCAGAGGATACGAATCAAAACGACCCCTGGCAGCATCAGTACAGGGTGGAAGTGAACAGACTGCACTGCATATGATGCCAGGAGATGACAGAGGGTCTGCAATTCTGTTGCTGCCCTAAAATCTGCTTAGTAACTAAAACAGGAGCAGGAAGGTCTTGCAATAACAGGAGGCACTGCTGCTGTCTCTGTGCAGATGCTGTTCGTGGGGCAGTGCGAGGGATCCTCTGGCCCTGAGATTTAGTAACAAGGTGAGATTTCTTTCTCTGCCAGACTCCAAGAGGGGCAACTTAAGGAAGTATGTGACAGACTTTAAAAATGGAAGTAGGATTTGAGTCAAATATGCACCTGGATTCTCACTGCACTGCATTAAGGGTGTTGACTTCAGTTCTCGTGTACTCAGGAAAATCCTGGGTGCTTCTTGGTATCAAAATTAATTTCATGTAAATACAAAGCTCTAAGCAAAAAAAGCTGAAAAGTTATCTGCTTGTCAATGGAACTCAGATTCCCTGGCTGATAGCTTCAAAAACACCATAATCTTCAGTCCGTTGCAGGCTCCTAAAGTTGTCCTAATCCAAACGCTATAAGGACATCTAGCAAGTATGAAAAAGAATTCAAAGCCAAAGTGAATAAGCAATACCAAAGTTAATTGGAAGCCCTAAGCAAGTTTTTAAAAATGTTTGCATTTGGGGGAGTTGGAAAACTGTTACTCTGGAGTTGAATTCATATACAAAGAGAGTAAAAGAAAATGCTCCTACTGGAGAGAAGTTGAAAGAATTGATTTTTTTTCCCTAGAACCCCCTTAGCCATGTGTTTATATGGCAAGCTTTGCCATATCTGGCAGTGATATTCGTTCTGATTGCTAACAGTTTTCAGACACATAAGGTAAGGAGATCATTCGCTGTTGATTTTGTGTGTGCTGCCCTCTGAAGCAGAGGAGCTATGTTTGTGTGGTCTCATACCATCTGTATTTTGCTTGAAATACAGAAAGCACGCTCTCAGAAATCTGCCAAGTGTAAGGAAAAAAAAATGCAAGTACCAGAGCTCCCCCTCAGCAAACAAAATCTTGCCCTTATTCTGCACTGCCTTATTTAATGCCTGTGGGACAGCTGTCATCAGGTGCTGAGGCAAATGCTTTCAGCCTTGTGGTTCCTGAGACACCTGAGGCAGCTGCTCTTCCATCCTCCTCTGTGCTCCTCTGTTTGTTTAGTACATCTGAGCGTTCCTGGGTTTGAAGCTCGTCTGGTTTATGGTGCCAGGTGTGCCTTTGGCTGCTGAGAACATCAACTCGTTGTTAGGAAAGCAATGAGGGAAGATGGCAGCTGAGCAACTTCATGTTTTAGCACACATTAGCTGCGTTTAAAATCTGCTGATGTTGCACAGGAAGGGGGGGGGGGGTAAATTAATGGTTGTTTATATTAAATATCTACCTCGTATATGTCCACTTCTGAATTATGAAATTAACTTAAATTCCAAAGGTAAGCGGTGGCTCTTAGTTTGTTAGCATGCATAAAACCACAGATTTTCTAAAGAATTATGCATTTTCCCTAATTACATGGGTAAATTACTTCCAATGATGTTGCATCTTACAGCGCAGCACGTTTGTGTAACCAAGCAGCACGTTAAGACAAACGTTTCAAGGTAATTTTATTTGCCTGTTCTTTCTCCATCTCCCTCTTCTAACTAACAATCATCCAGCCTCGGAGTCTGAAGTGATTTAAGTTTTCTTTTGGTGGGAGATGATCATTTGAGGACACTTGGGAGAGCTTTGGGTGGGATTTGGCAGAAACCTTCGTCAGAGAAACTTTGTGCAGCCATGTGATGATGCAAGTCTTGAAGCTCCAAAGCACCAAATATTTCCTGAATTCTGCTGAATCGTGATGCATTTTTTTTCCTGTTGTTTCTATTCACATCACTGCTGATTACTAAGATATCTGTGTGTAAACAAAACCTTTCTCATCTATAATTAGCCTTCTCTGACTGATTAAGGAACATGCTTAGAATGAGGACATGCTTAAATAGAATGCTGCTATTTAAACCATCTAACTTCATAATCAATCACTAGATACAGGGAAAAAAATAGTTAGTAATTTAAATGCAGTAAGATTGCCTAACAGAAATGCTCTTAAGATGTTACTTTTCTGCTTCAGCAGATTATAAAATCCTCTGGTACCTGAACTGCAAATGACTTCATTTGGAGCTGTTAAAGTGGAAATTATCTATGCTGACTAGTTTGTGCTCCTGAAGGATGGATTGCTCTGAGGATTTCTTACTTCATATTTATAGTTATTGCATCAAATACATCTGCCTTGTTACACAGTTTAGCAATAGCTGAGAGGGGGCTTTGAAATTGTTTAACTGATGCTATTTAGTTTAACCATTCATTTTTCATTTAAGTATTTTAATATCAGTAATATGGGATTCCTACCAGAAAAAAAACCCAAACAGCATGTATCAAAATGCCTTCCTCTTTGTGTGTGTGGTATTCATTTTCTATCACATAAGCCTGCAAGGTCTAGCAGTGAGAGTAAATCACCATCATCCAGCACTTTGGAGCTCTGATCTCCCTTCCTGATCTGATTCTCTGTGACACTGGGCAATGACAGTGATCTGCTGTGTGTATTTTTCAATGAGCATTTGTCACTAAACTGCCTCTTTTCTCCTCATCCAGCTCAATGAGTTTACAGGCTTGAGGTTAAGGGCTTAAATTGAACTGTTCCAAACAAAACAAAGATCTCTAATTTTAATTAGGCATCTGGGAAAAGATTTTGTTTCCTACTTCAATTGTTTTATCTGGTTATCATTAGTTATAGGTCAAGATGGAAGAGGGAGCAGAAGTTGCCATAGAAGCAAAAAAAGGTAATATCCCTAAGTGTATGTATATTTGTCTGAATGGCTATTATTTTGTTAAGCAAACCCGTTAAATCAATCATAATTTATTTTGATGAATGATAACTCAGAATTAGTAAATGAACCGTGAAAAATGGGAATTTCATTGAGCATCTTATGCCTTGGTAAATGAGAAAATAAAAAGATGGGGCTGGATTCGTGCAGGAAATGTATCCACATGCAAAATCCGGGAAGGGCTTGTTTTCCAGTGGGCTTCAGGGAGAAAAATGGTTCTGTTATGGATTGGTGTAGGAAGTATCTGCATTTGCTGCCTGGATGTTTCTTTTTCAGGTAGTCTCTGGCTGTCACTGTGAAGCTGAGTATTTCAGCAAGATTCAGAGAACACAGTAAGTCTTGAATTACAGAGTTTTTTTCCCCCTTAAAAGACGATATTATTTTTTGTGCCTCCTCATTTTGCTCATGGTAGGCCATTTTACGTTACAAAAAATGTTTGTAATAGAATTCATCTGTAAGAAAGAGTGGGGATGTGCTTTGCCTTTCCGAATGCCTTTCCTACACTCTCTCTTCCATGAGGCAAAGGGTATTTTATTTTGTTCTTTCTGTATTGTAATGAGGGAAGAGCTGTGGCTCTAAATATAGACCCCCTCCTGAATGCACATGGAACTGAGTGCTGTTGCATCTGCCAAGCCAGTATAAACCAGTATTTTTATTTTTCTCATATTGTCATGGCTCTGCAAGCTTGGAAAGTAATAGGTATTTTCTTTTGGATAACATTTTAACAGTGATTTCTTAAAGAAACAAAATAGTCTTTAGACAGCTACTGTCCAATAATTAAGACACACAAACTTCAGTTTGACTGACCTGCAGAATGGACTGGACACAGTAGGAATCATATAACAAATCCCTCCATTCAGACAAAAAGATCCATAACTGGTGCCACAGAGTTCTTCATGATCTTAAAAATAAGACCAAAACAAACACTGAGAAAAACAGAAGACTTCAAAACCAAAAAAAAACCCACCAAAACAAACCATCACACAAACAAAACCACCCTGTGAACAAAACGGTTATCAGTCTTGCCCTCCAGGCCAGCAACACGCAGCACTATCTTGCAGAACTGTTTCATGCAACAATAAGCAGAAAAGATCACTAACTTAGCACCACATCAGATGTGAAACACCCAAATTAGATAAATAAATCAAACTTTTCTCTGGCAGGGAGAGGAACTTCTGATTCTCCGTTATCTCCTCTGCCGGTCTGACCGCTCGCCACAGCGAGCGCAGTGATTCACACGGTGACCTGTGGGAAGTCTGGGCTGTCCTGTTCCACTGGCACCAACTATCCTCAGCTTCACTGCCTTCTGTGAGAGACTCAGCCAGCACAGATGCACCCAGAATAGCCTCAGGTGTGGGCCAGCACACCCTGAGACCGCTCAGGGTTGCCTGAAGAGCTGAATCACAGCCCACTTGGGCACCACCGGCTCTTCCCACCCCGGTTCTGGATGACCAGAGGAGGGGACAGCCTGCCCAGGGTCACTGATGTGCTACAATGTCATTTCCACACGTCTCAGCGAGGCTTTTTCCTGACTCAACAGGCTTCTTGGGCGAACTGCTGGTGTGTTAAACATAATTAGGAATTCCGTAGCTCCCCAGTGCAGGACACTGATGTTGGCACTTGTAGCAGCAGTTGACCATTTTGTGTTTCAAAAGCCTATCTAACTGTACCACTTCACTCTCTCTGAGAGCAGTCTAAATTTGGGATTTGGACTGCATATATTTAGGACACATTTAATGCATCAGTAACTCATTTTATATATATATATATATATATATATATGCATATATATATTTTTATATATTTCTTCCATCTTATGAAACCACAGTATCTCAATCAAAACAAAAATAGAGCAGTCTTCTGACATCACAAGGGTGAGAATCATGTGTTACCTCACACTTTTAAGTGTTCTTGTTGTTATTTCTCCCGGAAGCTCTGAAAATAAGAACTCTGCTGTCTCACTATAGAAGTGTGTGCAAATGGGAACGGGACCCTTTTGCCTGTGTGCAGATAAATGAGGGAGCTGGAGGAGGGAGAAGAAAGGCTGGAAGGATTGTTCATGTTTGACCTTGTTGCACAGAAACGTGTGTTCTGCCCTACCTTGCTATAAGTTAAATGGAAATTTATTTTAACTCCGAAGCTTTCTGTGCTTGTCTAGTGGCAATTAATTTCCTGCAAGTTCACTGTTAAAAGACTAACAGCACAATTGCAATGGGAATAAAATGGGCACAGAAGAAAAACAAGGAGGTTTTTAAACAAGAACTACAAATTATTTGATTTTAGTCTATTCAAACCTGACAGTGGACCTTCTGTGGGAGTGTATTTCAATTGAATCCTCTGTCAGATGAAGGGAGGGTACTGAACACATGGACATTGTATCAGGATATCCATACAGTTATAAGAATCAACTGAGAAAAACAGAACTCTCAACGTGCCCTCAGCTCTGTCAAGTGTCTGAGGGAGTTAACTGTTGAGATTCTACCAGATGGAAAAGCAAGATGATAGGAGGTAGGCCCCACAGAAAAATCCTTTTACACAGCTCATGGGAAGGTTTCAAAGAAATTCTCATGAGAATTAATGAGAATTTGTTAACCTCTTTAAAATCCTGCCTTCAGGTTCTATTTCTTTTCTTCCTCTCGATGCAGAACCAGACCAGGCCCACACAGGCACAGAGTCCTGAAGGAACCTCAACGCCTGGAGTCGTTTAGGGCTCATCTGGGACGATGATCACTGGTAAGGGGTGATCTTTGTATTAAAGCCCAGCTCTGCAGCACACCCAGGCATTTCTGTTCTGCCAAAACACCTCAGGCACTCTGTCTTAGGCCTATTAAAGTGAGAGAGGCAGAGAGAGAGAACAAAAAATGCCCAGGGAGCCTTTGAAACCTTTTTGATTGTAATTACAGACAATTTTTCTATAGGCTATTCCTTTCCAGAGACAGGCTTTTTTCCAATCCTGAGGGGAAAATGGTAACCTTAATTTTACCAGTGATGAGAAACTTGAAGAAACCTCTAGGACCTTCTAGATCAGGTGCCCTTTTTTCCCAGCCTTTTGTTCTTTTCACTATTTTGTGTATTAATACTTTGCTACTACTTAGTGAAAGTATCAGAGTAACAAAGTAGGTGTCAGAATTACAAAAGGCAATAAAAGAAAATTCAGGATGCTTTAACACTAGAAAAAAAATATTACTAGAAAATTATAATCCAAAAATAGATATTATTGTACTCCATACCTACTGGACTGAAATAGAGTAGCTTGCAGCAAATTTCCAAACCACAGTTCTGTATTTATAGACAGGAAGGTGTGAAAGCACCAGTTTATCCCTCTAAATTTATAGTCAATGATGCAAAAGAATATACTGGAGAATCAGAAGGGGTTCAGTACAAAACCCAATTACATTAGCATCGGTGAATGTGCTATGATTTTTCATGAGGTGAGTCAATACATTATATTAATCTAAAAATGCAAATTGTATGCTTTGAAAGTCAAATGTATACTACATTCAGACTCCATAATCAAGATAGGAAAGTTTAACAAGTCAAGTGATGAGGGGAGATTAAAAAAATACAAAAGATTTAGCTTTTAAATTAACAGAGCTCTATGTATGTGGTACATGATATATATGTGTGTATTTTGATACATCCTTCTATGCGAAAGATTAAAGAGAAGTAAGACACAAAAGTGGGTTTTAAAAAAAGTTGAATTTGGTGGAAGGAGAAGCGAAGAGGAATAAAACAAGGTTGTTCTTTTTTAATGCTTATCAATACTTAAAACTGGCTCTAAATACACTTATTCCTAATAATTCTTTTTGAGGACATGCACATCCTGGTTTCAGCTAGGACAGAGTTCATTTTCTTCCTAGTAGCTGGTACAGTGCTGTGTCTCTAAACTTGCCTGTTTGCATTTAAACTTTTGTAACCTGACTGTCCCAGCTATTAAAAAAAAACAAATTCAGGCTCAGCACCACCTTAACTCTCAAAGAGCCAAGCCAGCCTTGATAACCCACATGTTGACTCAGCTGTCTGGCCTCATCCAGAGGCCAAAACACCAGACTGTCTAATCCTGAACTCTGCTAACACAAAAAAGGAAAGGGGGAGGAGTGGGAAATGTTGACAGAAGATAAAAGGGGGCTGATGCTTCCTCACTTGTAAGCAACTCTGGACTGTGTGATCAGCCACAAGCTGTGAAACGCTAGGATTGATCAAAGCACAACATCTCCTCACAGGATTTGTACCATCAGCAGCTGAACTCGAGTGAGGGATGGCAGCTCCGCAGAGCAGTTGTGACAATCCCAGTGGCAGCTCCCAAATCCGAGGCAATATATTAATGAATTCTAATTATACATGGATGTGTATCCAGGCAAAGACTTGGAAGAAATTACCTGTTCGCATATTATTCCGACAACAACTTTTATTCTTGGTCAGAGGCTGCTCTTCTAAAACAGCACCTGGAGACAAACATGGAAGTTGAGCTTGTCATTTTTAAACCTGGTGGTGACTTTTTCCCCCCAAGAAGCAGTTATTGGAACGCAGCTTAGTTTTGCTGCTGAGACATCTGCAGGGACAGTAAGGCACTGTTAGATGGAAGCTCCACTAATTCACAGTTAATGGCAAACATTCAGCTCTGCTCTCCAGTTCAGTGAATCCCCAAAGGCAGAGTAAAACCAAATTCACACTAAAGCATATTTAAACAATGAATGCTTTTTTCCACGCTGCCACGCTTATTCAGAGTTGTGGTACCTGTGCATTTAGGCAATCTAATTGACTGTTTCTGGCCAGCTAATTGGATGGGCATTTGAACCCTGAAAGACAGTGCACACAATTGAACCAGTTCCCAGACTGGTGATTATTCAGTCAGGTGAGGTCTCGGTGGTAGAATTCTTGCATTCCACAAACAAGAACTTCCCAATTTGTCATTTCTCGCAGAGAATCTGTGTGGGTTTCAGTTGAGTGTTTCTCATGTCTGGATGTCGGGTGAAATTAGTAATACAGGCTGTGAATTTACCAGAACTCAGCAAGGTCAAGGCTTGTACAATGATCTTTAAAATCTGGAATAGAAACTCTCTGACTGGACAGAAACCAATCTTCACTTGGCAATTTTAAAAACTTATTCTGTAGATATGTCAACTCTATAGCCACCTACCCTTGCTATATTCTGTTTTCTTATTAGATATAATCAAAGTTTACCATATCATTACTAAACAAGCCTAATGTAATAGATCATCTTCTTTTTTCATGTTTGCTCTTTTTTCTTAATTGCACTTTAAAGTGTACGTAAAGCAGTTATTTAAACAAACTGCCCTATACTGGAAGAAAGAATCTTTTTCCCATTAAATGATCAAATAAAATAAATTGTCAGCTTTACGAGGAATAACTGCCTACACTTCAGCTTTCAGGAACAGAAAATCAACTTTCTATAGAGGCCCATTTCAGAAGGTATGATGCATTTGTACTTACTTTATGAGCAGACAGCGCTGGTTCTCACGGGACCTCAGGTGACTTCTCTAGTTTTCAAGTGTCCTGTCCATGCAGGATAGTCTGGAGTGGCAGTTCCCTGTGACACTGGGCTGTGACAGCAAGGTCCCCTCCCAAAGGCGTCCTCTTGAGCTGCCTCAGATACACAACCTGTGTGTGTGCACAAGGAGAACAATTAACAATTAACAGAGAGACAGGTGGACAGGAGTCACTTCAGAGCTAAAATCCTGGGTTTAAAAGAACTAAATCATCCTGCAGACAGGTTTCTCCTGCATTCGAGATCTGGGCTCTGTGTGCTGTGAGAAAAGGTTCACATTTACGTACAGTGCAAAGACAAACACCCTTGCAGAGGCCAAGCACAGAAGGGGGGAACACCCTGCTCACAGAATCACTTGTGGGTTACCAGCACTACAGTTTATTGCTGAATTCAAAATGTTCACATAAATTGCATCATATATATATTTTACACAGCGGTCACAAATCTGATTTAAATTTGTATCTTACTGGAGCAAGCAGTCCTTGTTAATTTAGTCTCCCTTTTCACAGAAAGTTCCACGAAATTATTTAATATCCAGTAGCTCTCATAACAGAAAATATAAACAGCATCTATCACCTAAATTTCAGTCTAGCTCCTGTACCAGATTTAATTAGGATAGGAGTCCTTGAATTGACAGAATAACTTTAGTTTTGCTACTGCAAAAAGGAGATCCTGCATCTCCTTTCCTTCCCCTTACTATCAGTATGCACCTCACTATCTCTGGTGCTGCTCCTGGTGTAAGTTGAGCTTTTTCAAGAGATGCTTAAATCCAGTGATCTGCCAGAAAATCCCATGGGGGAAGCTGAGGTTTTCTACAGCATCAGTGTGTTTCATCACTGTCTGGATGAGTTCTAATTGTTACAGGTACCACCCATTATTTACAGGCTGACTGCAGAGAACCAGGCAGCTTGAGGAAGGCCATGGGACGAGCACTAATTCTCTATTTTCCAACTTTGACCTGCATGGTCAAAGAAATAGGGGGTGGCAAAGGGAGGGGGTGAAAATACTTCCTCACCAGTCCAAGGAGAGGTCTGTGTGTATGCATTACTCTATGTTTTAAGTTTTGAAAATAAGGATCATAATTTGGGTCTAAAGATAACTTTCCAAAGAGATGCTGCTGACAGCATTCACAGTTATGGCATTTTTTTCTTCTTTTTAAGATTGAAGAGTAAATAAATCATTAGGCAGTCAGGTATTTACACGTTTTTCTCTGGGGTTCTACACTCTGAACAGAGGTTCATGTATAAGTGTCCTAAAAAGAACAGATTGGAGTCCCTATCTCATCAGAAATAGGATGATATATTTAAAGAAAAGGAAATACTACCACAGAAATTGTTGCTAAATTCGATTCCAACTTGCTTAAACCTATCTGTGCACTGAGCTCATACTAGAAACACAAAGATCAGTTGTGCATCTACCTTCCACTTTTCAAACTGTCTTCCTCCTGAGAGGCAGATATAGCCCATGCTCTCAGAAACTACGGATCCAATTGTATGAGTGCTGAAATGTGGATCTTGCACGCATCTTGGGAGCTCCTGAAAAGTCACTCTGTGTTTCCAGCTGGAGCATTTTAATCTGAAGTTTAAAATAAAGCCTATTTTGCTCTGTGCCAGCTCTCATTCTGCACCAATATTAAGCTCAAATATTTGTGTTTTGAAAACAGTGAAGGGAAAAAGGTTTCAAAAATTGCTTAGTGGGCTAATTAAATATAACTTTCCTTCTGAGATGTGCCCTTGATATCTGTCAAGCAGTCAGTAACCTACAACCTCTTATTTTCTCCAAGAGCCAGGAACTGTCCTGAGGTCTTGTTAAAAGGAGTCTGTTTTTTCTCATCTAGGTATAACTTCCCATCTCCTCCCCATCTGAAGCTCATAACTGGCTGGAGCACAGAAAATCATCAGGTGTCAGAAAAAAAATGCCTGAAACAAATGAGGATCTGTCCAAGGAAGACTTCAAGGTGAGATGTTACAACAAATCTGTATGAGGGCAATGTCTTACTCAAATTCACACCCTGAAAGTTTCTTTTAGGATGGGACAGCCAAAACAGGAGGGAATTCTCACAAAAGGCAGAAGCGAAGGCAGGTCATAAATAGCTCACAAATCTCGGTGTGCTTTGACTGACAGGTTAATTTTTTTGGCTACAGTTGTTCAAAAAATTCTTTCCATTCCAGTTTTCTGAAATGACAACAAATTACTGAGTCCTCTTGTCTTAGAAGTGCCCACAGCAAAAATTTAGATTTACATTTTGATTTTACCCACTGAAGTATGTCCAGGATTAATTATGTACTACAACAGCAGCCTAAAACTCTTGTCATGGTGTTGAAATTGCAATTTGAGACATTACGGTGACTTTAAGGGGACACTTTCCATTCCTAAAATTTCCAAAGTAGTTTGCAACCAACTGCAAATTCCCATCAGAAACCCCAGTTCTACTGTATGAGATATTCCTCCAGACATTGGCAAAGCTACAAAGTTGAGCTTCTGTCAAATATAACTACTGTAGTCTGCTAGAAATTTGTAATTTTGAGGTAGAGACTCCAGTCTCCAGCCTGTGTGTGCTTATGTGAGGGGAATTTAATAAATTTTACAACACACTTGCACTAAAAAAAGTCACTATCAAGCTTGGGAAAAAACCCCCACAACACTATTCTTTCATTCTTGTGTGCTTACTGATTTCTTCTGTGGCACTTTTGCTTCCAAGTTTATCCCTAAACTAAGAAATAAGCTGAAATTACTGGAACTTAAAGGCTCTCACTGCGTGGTTAATTTGTACTCGCGGCTCCGTGGCAGATGGAGTGACCCCGCAGTGTCAGCTCCCCGGTGTCGGTAACCTCAGATCCAGCAACCAGAACGCTAAAAATCCCCATCACAAACTGGCGTACAAGGCGGTTCAGCACGTGGTGACAGAATCACACTGACCGGTGCCTCCTAAATAATTCTGAGTTACTAAAAAATGTCTATCGTGAGAGTTTTAGATATTCACTTTTACACGGCAGTCATCACGAATCAAACGTAATTAGTGTTCACTATGCTGATTTTGATTTTTAAAGATTTATCCAGATAGTAAGAGCTGGTTGCTATTACAGCATAGGGGAGATAGCTCAAAACCTGAATTCCAGTCTCATTTATTTTGTCCATTTAAAGCACATTCTTAACCTTGGGTTGGTTTACTTCCTTTTTTTTTTCCTTTTTTTCTTTTGGTGCATTTAATTTTGCAGTGAGTTAATTTGCTCTACTTAACCCACGGCTTACCGCAGCACAGGGGGTATTCTTAACTCTGCCGGTGTAATCTTTCTCAGACAAGCACCGGGCAATGTGCTGAATCAACGTAATCCCTAATCCGCGCGGTGTAATCCCGCGGCCGCTCGCTCCGGCGCCCTTATGTAATCCGGGCCGCGGCGGCGCCGCGCGGGGCGGCGATGCCCGGCCCGCTGTGCCGCGGTGTGTCTGTCGCGGTGTGTCTGTCGCGATGTGTCTGTCGCGATGTGTCGCCGCTCGGGTGCCCGCGCGGGGGTCGCGCGCGGGGAGGGGGGGGTGGCGGGGGAAGGGGGGCGGGGCCGCGCCCGTAGTACTCCAGCGCGCGCCGCCCGCCGCCGCCATTGGCCCCGCGCCGGCCGCGTGACGCGCGCGCGCGCGCCCCCCTCATCCCCCTCGCGCTCCCGCGCAGCGACCCGCGCGCGCGCGCCGGCCCCGCGTCGCCAAGGGAACGGGAGCGGGAACGGGAGGCGCGCGCGGGGCCGCGCGCGGGCGGCCCCGGTCCCTCCCCGTCCCCGCGCGGGGCGCGCGCAGGACGCCGGTGGCGCGGGCAGAGCAGGTACGTGAGGGGGGAGCCCCGGGCGGCGTGAGGGGAGCCCGGTGCGGGCCGTGCCCCGGCAGCGGGGCCGTGCCGTGCTCCGCCGCAGGCAGCGGGGTCGGTGCCGTGCCCGAGAGGCGGGTCTGTGCTGTGCCCCGGCAGAGGGGCCGTGCCGTGCCCCGTTGCAGAGGGGTCGGTGCCGTGCCCAGCGCGGCCGTGCTCGGCGCGGTTTCCCCGCTCGCTGCGCCCCCGGGGCCGGGCAGGGCGCCCGGCGGGCCCCCCCGCCGGCGGTGCCGCGGGAGCCGCTCCGCGCCGGGCAAAGTTTGGCGGCGGTGCCGCCTGGCCGGGGTTGGGGCCGGGGGCGCTCGGGACCCTGCGCGGGCTCCGCCGGGCCGGGCGGGCTGAGGGTCGCTGCCGGAGCGGCGTTACCCCTCAGAGGAGGGGGCCGAGGGGCTGCGGGGGCTCCGGGAGCCCGCAGTATCTCCCGCACCGCAGCCCCCGGCACCGCCGCTCAGCGGGGCCCCCGCGCCCCCGGACAACTTATGCCGTGCGGTTACCGAGTACATCCCGGGTACGATGCCTGAGCTTGAAAGCTGCTTTTATTCTCTGTGCGGGCAAACCCACCCAACGTGTGGTGCCTCGGCAGCGCCTTCACCGAGAGCGCTCCAGGTCTGTGAAGGTGCTGCAGCGCTCCTTGGAAACCCACCCGTCCCGGAGCAGCATCACTGCCTGCCCCAGCCAGAAAAGGAATCGTAGTTTCTGCTCTGAAGTTGAAATCTATTTAGAGTGCTCTTAACTGGGGAATTTTTGGTTTGCCTTCCATAAAAATGTAATAAACTTGATAGGCCTTTTTTGTTATATTTGTAGAGGTGAAATCTAAATTGTGGGGATTGATGAGCTGTAACAGGACAGCACGTCACAGTAACTTTTCTTAAGGAGAGCAGTCTATGGATATGCGTGGTTTCTAAGCTTGTTAGCTTGCTGAATTTACAGGAAAAGGTTCTGCTAAATGTGTCTGCAGCAGAATTTCTTGGGTTTTACGTGTGGGTTTGCGAGCAAACCGATCTACAAGCTCCGTGTTAAAGAGAGCACACACCTGACACCATTGTAACAGCTGCCAAAAATGGTATATGTAAAAGAAGCAAAGTGAGTAACGATGTAGGGGTGTTTACAGCTGTGAAGGCTCATTCTCTGCCACAGCAGAGAAGGCTCATTTGTCTGGACACAGGGCTTCTGTCATAGGCACACAGTCAGAAATTGCTGCTTTGTGGTCTGACTACTGTTAGGAATCCTACTCTTTATGCAGGACTTATTACTGGAATTTGCACAAAGAAGGTTAAGCAAACTGTGCTCTTTTAATGTGCTGTATAACATCATTACCCAAGTGTGGATCGGGGGAGACAATGCTGATAGTTATTTTTCGGTAGTTCTCGCGAAGATGCCGCAAGTTCCTGCAGGACACTTGTAAAATGGTTATTACTGACACGGTCACGTTAGGTGGGGATTGTAAATTAGACCATGCAATAGTAGCACGTAAGTGCTCTGCAACGAGATACTGCCATTAACACTGGGAAAAGCCTTTCCTCGGTGTTGAGAACAATGTCTGGATTGTGGGGCAGCCTCCTCTGCGCGGGGAAGCGGGGGAATACTTCTCATTTACAGAGGATGTGGAGTAAGAACAAGCGTGTCCTGCTTCAAACGTGTTATGGTTCCTAAATGCAGAGAGAGTGTGTTTGCAGTCAGGGAAGGGACTGTGTGAACCGAGAACCCATTCCCGAAGCGGTTCCTACTCATTCCTGTACGTTTCTGAAGGAAGTGGAGTTTTTGCAGCTCTGTCCTGATGCTACCCATTGAATCGCAAAACTGACTCGTTCAGTGCAAGGTGGGGATTTTGCCTGAAGGGCGAAAAGAGGTGGAAGTTGCACACAAAGTTAGATGGGTAGTAATTGTGCTAAAGACAGCAGTGGACAAAGAGAACATGTGGCAAGAGTACACATCAGCTATTTCAGTAGGAACTGGAGTAGTAGGTGAGATAAAGATCTTCACTTCAACCGCTATGAAAAGGTCAGTAAGAAAATGAAGATGTGAGCTATGTATGCCTGCAGTGTGAGTACCAGTGCGAGCCTGCTACTGAGCTCAGGTGTTTTCAGATTGTGACTGACAGCATCAGTGCAGAACACAGCATGCAGTGTAGCAGTTTTCCCTGTCACTGTGTCCGTTCCCAAAGGTTAGTTGGGTCTAGGCACGATTGCAGCTCTGAAGGTGCCCTGTTCAAGGTGCTCATTACACTTCCCCTCTCCAGGCCCCCTGTACCGTTGTGCTGTTACTCCAGGTTGGGGTCGGGGGTGACTCCCCCAACCCTGGGTCCCTGGCAGCTGCTGTTCCGCCTCCCGTGGTCTCCACACTGCGGAGCCTGACTCTGCAGTGATGTTGCATCACAGATCACTTTAGGCACAGAGGGACAGCACTGGCAAAACCTCCAGCACCACGAAGCCCATGGTTCCAGTGTTATTACCCGTGATTGTGTCCAAATTAGGAGGAGGAACTGCATTGCCCTGCGAGATCCTGACACGACTAAAATTCACCTATATCATCAGTATCTGTCTGAATTAGTTGCATTACCTGGCAATAGCACAACAATTAATTGAATTGTGTTATGCAGTATAAAACTATCTGTGTAGTCTATCAGAGCAATAAACGAGATGTTATTTCCATATAGTGGTGCTCAGCTAATCTGCTTCCTGGACAATGGGATTACCTAACAGTCAGAATACTTAATCCTTATGAGCACTGCAGAACCAATATTGACATAGGAGAGCGAGCGGGAGTCCTTTCTGCCGCATGTATTATCATCAGAAGTGTCAAATACATGCTATTTGAGCAATCATCATTGCTGGTTGGTATGTGAGAGGAGGACTGAGGTTTGATTCCTTCTTTTCCTCTGCTCGCTGGTTCTAGAGTGACACTGTGTGCTGGTGAAACATGTTTGCCACACTCTTTTTGGGTTTCGTGGTGTGAGGGGTAAGTCTGGAATCTGCAGCGTCGGAAAATGGAGAGTTTGGGATTTTTTGACTTCGAAAAAATTTCTGAACTCTGACAGTACTTTTGGGAGTATCTCTGTAGTATAGGTGGACATGAGCACACTTGTTGAAACACTGTCCTCAAGAGAAAAACAGTTCAAGTTGGCTTCTTATCACTGTGGGGGTAGAACGTGGCTGTTGTTCATTCTTTGGCTCCAGAGGTTCCTGCCCAAGGTGAATTGAAGCCTTTCTTCCACCAGGTTCTTGGGTGGTGCACTGTGGGTGAAGGTGGCAGGGTTACTTCAGCCTCTCTCATATTTCAGCCCATCTGTTTGGTGGGCTTAGGATTTGGTGTGACGAGTGTGATGTATTAGGGTTTCATTCTTAATTTAGTTATGAGTTCCCAGTGAGCTCTGTTACCTCCGTACAGTCCTGCTGCAATCGCTGTTTTTGCATGAGGAGAATCAAGGCAGGCCTTCTTGTAAACTCAAGCAGCAATGGAGGTCTTCTAATCATACTTTTGTCCTTGACTAAGCATTGTAAAATACAGTATCAGCTCATCCCTTGCTTTATCCGAAATAATAATATTTGCAGCATGAACAGGTTCTCCCTGTCTCATTTTAATTTTTTCATTTTGTCTCGTCTAGGGTTCGTTGTTTCTTTGATGTGTTTCCACTAAAATTTCTTGGTGGCAATTATTGTGTCTTTGCTTGCATCCTGTAAAGCCCCACGTGCCCCTGTGGCGTTACACACACAGGAAACTACATTTAAAATGTATGTTCAAATATACTGGTTGCAAAGTCACACCTGTAAGTCAGCAGATGTTTGATTTAGGGTTCTGCAGATACAGTTGTGTGTTGTGAGCCACCCTGGTATCAGTGAGCCAATGATTTTCAGGAAAAATAGTGTGTGATCTTAACAGTTAAGAAGAGGATTAATGCAAATGGAGCTAAAGGCCTGTGCTGTTTTAAACGTGCTGCTTCCTAATTTTCAAGAGCTTTAATTTCAACCCAGGTAACCTTCTTGCAAATTAGTTTCTCACACAGAACTTATTGGTATTGTGAGGTTTAGTCCCCTTTGTTTTGGCTTTGCTTTTTCTTTTTAATGATGTTACCTGGGGGTATAAACTTCCCCTGTTGACCTTAAAAAAAATCCCTAAATGGGATTTGAGCCTTCAGTGGTGATTTCTAATTCAGGTAACTGCCTTACTTGGTAAGTTCATGCCCGTTTGGGTTTTGGTTTGGTTTGGTTTGGTTTTTTTTTTGGGAGGCCACCAAACACTTGATTAAAAAAAAAGCAAGCAGGCACAGGAAAACAGTTCAGTTTAACTTGAATGGATTGCCATGAGACAAAGAGCATCTCTGCTGTTCCAGGGAACTTCAAAGGCTGCCTGCAGACGAGGCAAGTGTCAGAGCTTCTCAAAAAAGTTGTGAAAGTCTTTATAGTGGAAAGTGTTATGTGCCTGATATTTAAGTGTGCCTACTAGCTTTTTCCACTAATAGAAAACGAAAATTCATGTCTAAAAATAGCAAAATGCAAGTTTTATTGATGTTGGTGAGACTTTTGCTGTTGAATTATTTTGTCATTTTGCCTTCAGTGCTTTCGTTCA